CCGCCCTCATCTTCATCCGATTGATGTTTTCGCTTGGCATTACTATGCTGACGTCGTTGCACTATACCCGAGCTACCTAGGAAACTACGTTTGTTATTATACGCATTCCAGAGTTTACCACGAGCCGCATGATTGGGCTGTGAGGGTATAAAATAGGCCGAAGCGATTTCATTGGGAAATGCCTGTATCAGATTATCGGTTAGAGTAAAGAAATCCTGACGTTTGAGTCTGTAAAGGATTTCACTTGTCAAAAAAAAATTAAGTTTTTATTTCATCGAAATTACTTACACTCTTTCAGGTTGAAAATTTAGACATTCATCTATGATGGCTTTAGCAATAGTAGTCCGATGTTTATTTTCCAAGGGTCTACCATCATCGGACATTTTGACTATGGGCAATAGTGAAGGTATATTACGTATATCATTGGCATCTGGTAAATGATTAACGATTATCTGTACCGTTGTATTGTGTGGTTCGTTAGCATTAAAGGACTTTGCGGCTGGATAAGGATTTGAATGTGTATAGTAATCGGCTTGAGAACAGGTGTTTTCAACGTGTTCTACTTTAGCATCTACAACATGATTAACTCTCTCCTTTAATTCGACGCAAAAAGTGGGTAATTTATAATATTGTAAAATGATATTTTTAAAATCATTTGCCGAAATTTCACACTCATTAATAGCTGCATAGAAATTGGCACGGTTCAATATATTAAAAGTGGAACAGGCTAAAAAAGGAATTAAAAAGTTTTTCTATTATAAAAAGAGTTAAGAGAAACCTATTTTATATTACCTGCAGAGAAAAAATCTTGATATAAGAAAGGCTCAAAGATTTTAACAAACTTCTTACAGTCATTATACACCGTCTGTAGGAGGATTCTAAAAACAAGAAGAATCAAAAATCTATTTCTTCCAATAAGAAAATAATAACTCACTCAGTTGGAGTTCCTGAGGCAACAGAAGAATTCATATTTTTATTGCCACTAGTAGAATCTGTAGTCATGTTGCTTTGGCCAGCTCCATGAGTTCTCTTAAAGCGCTTAACACTTTCCGAAGTCAATTCCTCTTCTCGTTTTAACAGCACATCATTTTCCTTACATTCTTTGTTTTGATATTTAGCTTTTGCTGCTAAATATTTAACATAAATTTTACCTTCCTTTGATTTTCTATACTGATCCAAAGTTTCATTTGGAAAGAGTGAACATATAGCATTTTCCAAATCATAACTTATATATAAATCGAAAGCTAAATCATTTTTCAAATAATAGTTGATAATGAGTTCAATTAAAAAGTTACGTTCGGGATTGGAAAAGGTTTGTTTATCACGATATATATCTAAAAGTTCTGGTCTTCGGGTTGACTTTGCATAAGAATTTCTTTTAAGTTTATGGAGGATTTTGAATTTTGTTCCGTTGCCCTTGTAAATTTAAATTCTTCATATCGCATTGTTTCATTGTTAGTTGGGGTTTTAAGCGGTCTTCCAATTCGTTTTCGCCATTGTTCTAAATTGTGTTCAAAACGTATTTGTATACCCAACGAAAAGTCGCAAAGTAGGGATTTGATGTGCGGCAACTTCATTATGGTTAGGGTGTCCATATCGATTTCTTCCTCTAGAAATAAATTAGAAATTTATTTGTAATACTTATAACCTACCCCATTATATGAGTATTTAACCGATTTATATATGTTAAATGAATTATAACTCCGTCTTGAAAACCATGAATGCCGATTTTCATCGTTAGTTTGTTAGTTAGTTAGTTAGTTAGTTAGGTTAGTTAGTTAGTTAGTTAGTTAGTTAGTTTGTTAGTTAGTTAGTTAGTTAGTTAGTTAGTTAGTTAGTTAGTTAGTTAGTAGTTAGTTAGTTAGTTAGTTAGTTAGTTAGTTAGTTAGTTAGTTAGTTAGTAGTTAGTTAGTTAGTTAGTTAGTTAGTTAGTTAGTAGTTAGTTAGTTAGTTAGGTTAGTTAGTTAGTTGTTAGTTAGTTAGTTAGTTCGTTAGTTGTTAGTTAGTTAGTTAGTTAGTAGTTCGTTAGTTAGTTAGTAGTTAGTTATTTAGTTAGTTAGTTAGTTAGTTAGTTAGTTAGTTAGTTAGTTAGTTAGGTAGTTAGTTAGTTAGTTAGTAGTAGTTAGTTTGTTTGTTATTTTGTTAGTTAATTAGTTAGTTAGTTAGTTAGTTAGTTAGTTAGTTAGTTAGTTAGTAAGTTAGTTAGTTAGTAAGTTAGTTAGTTAGTTAGTAAGTTAGTTAGTTAGTTAGTAGTTAGTTAGTAGTAGTTAGTTAGTTAGTTAGTTAGTTAGTAGTTGTTAGTAGTTAGTAAGTTAGTTAGTTAGTAGTTAGTTAGTTAGTAGTTAGTAGTTAGTTAGTTAGTTAGTAGTTAGTTAGTTAGTTAGTTAGTTAGTTTGTTAGTTAGTTAGTTAGGTTCGTTAGTTAGTTAGTTTAGTTAGTTAGTTAGTTAGTTAGTTAGTTAGTTAGTTAGTTAGTTAGTTAGTTAGTAGTTGTTAGTTTGTTAGTTAGTTAGTTAGTTAGTAGTTAGTTAGTAGTTAGTTAGTTAGTTAGTTAGTTAGTAGTTAGTTGTTAGTTAGTTTGTTAGTTAGTTAGTTAGTTAGTTAGTTAGTAGTTAGTTAGTTAGTTAGTTAGTTAGTTAGTAGTTAGTTAGTTAGTTAGTTAGTTAGTTAGTTAGTTAGTTAGTTAGTTAGTTAGTTAGTTAGTTAGTTAGTAGTTAGTTAGTTAGTAGTTAGTTAGTAGTTAGTTAGTTAGTTAGTTAGTTAGTTAGTAGTTAGTTAGTTAGTTAGTTAGTTAGTTAGTTAGTTAGTTAGTTAGTTAGTAGTTAGTTAGTAGTTAGTTAGTTAGTTAGTTAGTTAGTTAGTTAGTTAGTTAGTTGTTATTTTGTTAGTTAGTTAATTAGTTAGTTAGTTAGTTAGTTAGTTAGTTAGTTAGTTAGTTAGTTAGTTAGTTAGTTAGTTAGTTAGTTAGTAGTTAGTTAGTTAGTTAGTTAGTTAGTTAGTAGTTAGTTAGTTAGTTAGTTAGTAAGTAGTTGTTAGTAAGTTAGTTAGTTAGTTAGTAAGTTTAGTTAGTTAGTTAGTTGTAGTTAGTTAGTTTAGTTAGTAGTTAGTTAGTAGTAGTTAGTTAGTTAGTTAGTTAGTTAGTTAGTTAGTTAGTTGTTAGTTAGTTAGTTAGTTAGTAGTTAGTTAGTTAGTTAGTTAGTTAGTTAGTTAGTTAGTAGTTAGTAGTTAGTTAGTTAGTTAGTTAGTAGTTTAGTTAGTTAGTTAGTTAGTTAGTTAGTTAGTTAGTTAGTTAGTTAGTAGTTAGTTAGTTAGTAGTTAGTTAGTTAGTAGTTAGTAGTAGTTAGTTAGTTAGTTAGTTAGTTAGTTAGTTAGTTAGTTAGTTAGTTAGTTAGTTAGTTAGTTAGTTAGTTAGTTAGTAGTAGTTAGTTAGTTAGTTAGTTAGTAGTTAGTTAGTGTTGTTAGTTAGTTAGAGTTAGTTAGTAGTTAGTAGTTAGTTAGTTAGTTAGTTAGTTAGTTAGTTAGTAGTAGTTAGTTAGTTAGTAGTTAGTTAGTTAGTAGTTAGTAGTTAGTTAGTTAGTTAGTTAGTTAGTTAGTTAGTAGTTAGTTAGTTAGTTAGTAGTTAGTTAGTTAGTTAGTTAGTAGTTAGTAGTAGGTAGTTAGTAGTTAGTTAGTTAGTTAGTAGTTAGTTAGTTAGTTAGTTAGTTAGTTAGTTTAGTTAGTTAGTAGTAGTTAGTTAGTTAGTTAGTTAGTTAGTTAGTTAGTAGTTAGTTAGTTAGTTAGTTAGTTAGTAGTTAGTTAGTTAGTTAGTTAGTTTGTATTTGTTAGTTAGTTAATTAGTTAGTTAGTTAGTTAGTTAGTTAGTTAGTTAGTTAGTAGTTAGTAAGTTTGTTAGTAAGTTAGTTAGTTAGTTAGTAAGTTAGTTAGTTAGTTAGTTAGTAGTTAGTTAGTTAGTTAGTTAGTAGTTAGTTAGTAGTTAGTTAGTAGTAGTAGTTAGTTAGTTAGTTAGTTAGTTAGTTAGTAGTTAGTTAGTTAGTTAGTAGTTAGTTAGTTAGTTAGTAGTTAGTTAGTTAGTAGTAGTTAGTTAGTTAGTTAGTTAGTAGTTAGTTAGTTAGTTAGTTAGTTAGTAGTAGTTAGTTAGTTAGTTAGTTAGTTAGTAGTTAGTAGTTAGTTAGTTAGTTAGTTAGTAGTTAGTTAGTTAGTTAGTAGTTAGTTAGTTAGTTAGTAGTTAGTAGTTAGTAGTTAGTTAGTTAGTTAGTTAGTTAGTAGTTAGTTAGTTAGTTAGTAGTTAGTTAGTTAGTTAGTTAGTTAGTTAGTAGTAGTTAGTTAGTTAGTTAGTTAGTTAGTTAGTTAGTTAGTTAGTTAGTTAGTTAGTTAGTTAGTTAGTTAGTTAGTTAGTAGTTAGTTAGTTAGTAGTTAGTTAGTTAGTAGTTAGTTAGTTAGTTAGTTAGTTAGTAGTAGTTAGTTAGTTAGTTAGTTAGTTAGTTAGTTAGTTAGTTAGTTAGTAGTAGTTAGTAGTTAGTTAGTTAGTTAGTTAGTTAGTTAGTTAGTTAGTTAGTTAGTAGTAGTTAGTTAGTTAGTTAGTTAGTTAGTTAGTTAGTAGTTAGTAGTTAGTTAGTTAGTTAGTAGTTAGTTAGTTAGTTAGTTAGTTAGTAGTTAGTTAGTTAGTTAGTTAGTTAGTTAGTTAGTAGTAGTTAGTTAGTTAAGTTAGTTAGTTAGTTAGTTAGTAGTTAGTTAGTAGTTAGTTAGTTAGTTACTTAGTTAGATAATTAGTGTCTTTCTTAGTTGTTTAATGAACTGTTGCTTCCATAAAAATCGAACTCTATATATCAATTTTATTGCTAAAGTACAATTTTATTAATTTAACTCAGAGTTTTAGAATTCATTTACCCACTGTACTGTTGCTACATGTTTGCTGTGAATAAATACAATTTTCCTACATAAGTCACACAAACGAAACTCAAGCAAATAAATAAACCAATGAATACATCCACACACATACACAACACAATCATAGTTTAACTAAAGAAAAACACAACAACTTACCAATTAAATGGGGTAAAATATTTTCCAATTTCCAAGAGGTCAACAATTGTTTTAAATCCATTACTTTATTATCCACCATGTTTACATTTAACTATAATAATACTTTCTTTAAACAAAATAAATTTAATAAATTATTTACACATTTAATTGTTACAAACAATTAAAAACTCACAAAAACTCTAATATTTCGGCGAAACAACCACACGAAAGAAAAATATGTATCTGACAAACAATTGTATAGAAATTTCTTTTGTACTGAATATATAAATATGTTTGAGAGAAACATATGTTTAGGTTTCTCTTAAATAGTGCCGGCTGAATAACATTTCTCTTTAACTGTTAATGTGCGTGAGTGTGTTGTTGGCTGTGTTGTTTAATGTAAACATAAAAAATAACATCTGCTTTTAGAGACAATTTTTAAGTGAACGATTAGCGTTCAAATTAAAATGAATTGGGTACTTAGTTAAATTTGTTTGCTAGTTTAAGTGCTCAATGTAGTAATGGATGTTTAAAATATGTATTAAAGAATGGATGTTTAAAATATGTATTAAACATCCATTTCCATTTAGTCGATAGTCTATAACCTAGTCTAGGCTATATTCTACTCTATAGTATCGTCCATAGTCTAGTCTATAGTCAGGTCTATAGTTTAGTCTATAGTCTTATCATTAGTTAGTTAAACTTCAGTCTAGTCTATAGTCTAGTCTATAGTATAGTCTAGTCTATAGTCCAGTCTATAATCTAGTCTATAGTCTAGTCTATAGTCTAGTCTATAGTCTTGTCTATAGTCTAGTCTATAGTCTAGTCTATAGTCTAGTCTAGTCTATAGTCTAGTCTATAGTCTAGTCTATAGTCTAGTCTATAGTCTAGTCTATAGTCTAGTCTATAGTCTAGCCTATAGTCTCGTCTGTAGTCTAGCCTATAGTCTCGTCTGTAGTATAGTCTATAGTCTAGTCTTTAGTATAGTCTATAGTCTAGTCTTATAGTATAGTCTATAGTCAGTCTACTCTATAGTATAGTCTATAGTCAAGTCTAGTCTATAGTCTAGTCTATAGTCTAGTCTATAGTCTAGTCTATAGTCTAGTCTATAGTCTAGCTATAGTCTAGTCTATAGTCTAGTCTATAGTCTAGTCTATAGTCTAGTCTATAGTCAGTCTATAGTCTAGTCTATAGTCCAGTCTATAGTATAGTCTATAGTCTAGTCTATAGTCTAGTCTATAGTCTAGTCTATAGTCTAGTCTATAGTCTAGTCTATAGTCTAGTCTATAGTCTAGTCTATAGTGTAGTCTATAGTCTAGTCTATAGTCTAGTCTATAGTCTAGTCTATAGTCTAGTCTAGTCTATAGTCTAGTCTATAGTCTAGTCTATAGTCTAGTCTATAGTCTAGTCTATAGTCTAGTCTATAGTCTAGTCTATAGTCTAGTCTATAGTCTAGTCTATAGTCTAGTCTATAGTCTAGTCTATAGTCTAGTCTATAGTCTAGTCTATAGTCTAGTCTATAGTCTAGTCTATAGTCTAGTCTATAGTCTAGTCTATATCTAGTCTATAGTCTAGTCTATAGTCTAGTCTATAGTCTTAGTCTATAGTCTAGTCTATAGTTTAGTCTATAGTCTAGTCTATAGTCTAGTCAATAGTCTAGTCTATAGTCTAGTCTATAGTCTAGTCTAGTCTATAGTCTAGTCTATAGTCTAGTCTATAGTCTAGTCTATAGTCTAGCCTATAGTCTAGTCTATAGTCTAGTCTATATTCTAGTCTATAGTCTAGTCTATAGTCTAGTCTATAGCCTAGTCTATGGTTTAGTCTATAGTCTAGTCTATAGTCTAGTCTATAGTCTAGTCTATAGTCTAGTCTACAGTCTAGTCTATAGTCTGGTCTATAGTATAGTCTAGTCTATAGTCTAGTCTATAGTGTAGTCTATAGTGTAGTCTATAGTGTAGTCTATAGACTAGTCTATAGTCTAGTCTATAGTCTAGTCTATAGTCTAGTCTATAGTCTAGTCTATAGTCTAGTCTATAGTCTAGTCTATAGTCTAGTCTATAGTCTAGTCTATAGTCTAGTCTATATTCTAGTCTATAGTCTAGTCTATAGTCTAGTCTATATTCTAGTCTAGTCTAGTCTAGTCAGTAGTAGTATAGTAGAGTCTAAACTTTAGACTCTACTATAGATTTAGACTCTAAAGTCTAGTCTATAGTCAAGTCCATATTCTAGTCTATAGTCTGTTTTATAATATTGTCTAGTCTATAGTCTTAGGTGTAGTCAATAGTCTATCGTCTGGTCTACACTCTTAGGCTTAACAATGGTCTATTCTATAGTCTAGTATATAGTATTGTCTATCATCTAGTCTATAGTCTGGTCTAGTCTATATTCTTATCTATAACCTAGTCAATAGTCTAGTCTATGTCATTGTTATTTTATGGGTTTTAAAATTCACTCAACAATAATTTAAATTTCATTAAAATTTAAATTTTATGAAAAAATCTTCATTATAAATAATAATCGAAAAGATGCAAATATTTACAAGGGACTCCTAAAAAAACTAAGATTAAACAAATCTAAATTTAATATTCTGTATTCATCATTTAGATACCAAAAATTTTCGCAAGATTTTTCTCACGATTTAAATTATTATTTCTATTGCGCATTCTCGACAACAATGGCACCGATGTCGTTGATAATGGATTAAGTTTTCCTATATTATCTTTGTCCAAAAACGCATGTGGATATTTGATGATTGCCTGTTGGGCTATTGCGCGGAAAATGCGCAATGGTATATGAGTTGAAATGCAACGCAGTTCATCGACGATTAAATTTGCTATAACATTTAAACCTTTTCCCAACGATTCTTTATTCTCCAACAAATTTATAATTTCGGATGGTAACTTATGCCAGGGTATTCTAAAGTTTTTAAATGGTCGTTCGCATTCTGCCGTTTGCTTTAACTTATTCTTATAGGTTTGATATGCCAGTGCCATCGAATCGATAGAAGATGTATCACTAAGAACTCTGGAAAAGTAATGAAATAGAAACCACATCAAATTAAAGCATTATATTGAAATAAATATACCTACTCTGGCTCAATTTTAATAAAATCCGTTAGAGATGTATTATTATCACTCGCAACACTATCATTATAGTCCTTCTCGAAGTGCGAAACATCAGACTTATTAGTAGAATTCGTAGTGTAATCGTCATTCATTAATTGACTCTCAAACAGATACTCTTCAATTTCATTATTGGTTTCCTTAATAGCTGATGCATTATTCATACTATTACTATTTGATTCATTCAGAAAATTAACGCCTTCCCGAGCAGCTTTAGCTTTTATATAGCTCTTATAGATTTTATCACTTGTGGAAGTTCTATAGAAACTCAACATTTCAGTACGAAACATTTTCGTAATATCTCTTTCTAAATTATAACTGATCTCTTTATTAAATTCAAGATTATAATCCAAATGGTATTTGACAATGATGGAAATTAAAAGTCTACGTTCGGTATTTGAGAAACGTCTGCGGAAACGATAGTTCTTAATAAGACCAAGACCGCTTTCAGAACGCAATAAAATGGTACGCAGGTCCACATGTGTTATTGTTTGAGGAGTTTTAAATGTACTCGATTTGTCTGCTCTTAACTCTTTCAATGGATCATCGTCCGATATAAATGAAACGCTGCAGCTAGCATCTTCTAAATTTTCATTGTTATTTTCTTGATTTGTTTGTGTTGTAGTATTATTTATATCGTACATTTTAAGATCAGTTTGTATTTCTCTATTTTCTTTACTTTTAACTAATTCATCTTTAAAGTTACTCTCTGTTGTCAAAATGTGAAATCGATCATCACTTGTTGGCATCGTTTGTTGAAAAGGTCTTCCGATATCTTTACGCCATTGTTCTAAGTTATATTCGAAACGTATTTGTATGCCCAGTGGAAAATTGTATAGTAATATTCTTATGTGGGAGAGTTTCATCATTTGTAAAATGTCTATATCAATTTTTTCTGCTAAATTAGAAAATAATGAAGAAGAATTGAAATTAATAATAATATCTATCTATCTATCTATCTATCTATCTATCTATCTATCTATCTATCTATCTATCTATCTATCTATCTATCTATCTATCTATCTATCTATCTATCTATCTATCTATCTATCTATCTATCTATCTATCTATCTATCTATCTATCTATCTATCTATCTATCTATCTATCTATCTATCTATCTATCTATATCTATCTATCTATCTATCTATCTATCTATCTATCTATCTATCTATCTATCTATCTATCTATCTATCTATCTATCTATCTATCTCTATCTATCTATCTATCTATCTATCTATCTATCTATCTATCTATCTATCTATCTATCTATCTATCTATCTATCTCTATCTATCTATCTATCTATCTATCTATCTATCTATCTATCTATCTATCTATCTATCTATCTATCTATCTATCTATCTATCATCTATCTATCTATCTATCTATCTATCTATCTCTATCTATCTATCTATCTATCTATCTATCTATCTATCTATCTATCTATCTATCTATCTATCTATCTATCTATCTATCTATCTAATCTATCTATCTATCTATCTATCTAGCGACTATCTAATCCGATCTAAGCTATCTATCTATCTATCTATCTATCTATCTATCTATCTATCTATCTATCTATCTATCTATCTATCTATTCTATCTATCTAATCTAGCTATCTATATATCTATACATAGCTATCTATCTATCTTATCTATCTATCTATCTATCTATCCTATGCTAGCTATCTATTATCCTATCTATCTATCTATCTATCTATCTATCTATCGATCTATATCTCTATCTATCTATCTATCTAATCTATCTATCTATCTATCTATCTATCTTAATCTATGCTATCTAGCTATCTAATCTATCTATCTATCTATTACTATCTATCTATCTATCTATCTATAT